GTGGCGCAGGGCGTTGGGAGCTGTCAGAGGTGGTTATCGCTATCACCCAATATATTGTCGACACGTGTCCTTCCTGCACATGGGATAAATATTCTCCTGAGTTTCAGTTAGCGGCTTTCACGCGCATCTGCAACCCACGTGCCTGTGACTAGGTCGATCACGGGCTCCTCGATCATGGGCTCCTCGAATAGGTTGCTCGATCCCGCGTCTGATCGAACAAGGGGTTGCTCGATCATATATCTGGTCGAGCAATGGGTTATTCGATTACGGGATTAGTCGTGCATTGGGTTGGTCGATCGACTGCCTAGTCGACTGCTTAAATGATCGATCCTCTTGTCTCTCGTTCTGGCTTCCTCCTAACTTGGTCTTCTCGACCGGCTGAGTTGACCGGTTTAGCCTTGTGTATATAATATCCCATATCATCTAGTCCCCCCCCACTCTGGTCGAGTCTGAATGACTAGATCTAAGAGTGAGTTCATGCTTATCAATCTTCTGGGTGGCCCATCATCAGATATCGACCAGCTGACGGATTTCCCGCCTACTCTTTTGAATAATTCCCCATTAATTTCCAGCAATAAAGTCGTCTGTTTCAAATCCCTTCTGTCGCTCCTGCTTTTTTGACACGCGTCCCTCCTGTTCGCGTGTGTCAGGCGCTTTAATGATGACGCCCCTTCGTATAACGCGCCCTCTTGGAGTACCGTGTACTTTAACTTTTCTGCCGCATGATCAAACTTTAATCTGACGGTCTTCGTCTTTTCCCCCTTTTTACCCTCCAAAGTATAAAATCAACACTTAGCCAATTTTTTGACTTTTTCCACCTTCGCACTTTCTGCACTCCTCTGTACTCAAAATTCTCTCTGCAAACACACTTATTCTCCCGGCGATTTCTCTTGCGCTTTTCTGAACCTCCATCCATCGTTGATTCTCGGTTATGAGTAAGTCTCTTCGCACTTGAGTTTTTATTCTTCGTAGTTCTATTTTGTGTACTCTGGGATTTTTAATATTGGGTGCCCTTGATCTATCTGCTGAATTATCTCGAATTAGTATGCCTTGTGTTGGATTTGTGCTTTTAATATCCTTGTATGGTTGTTGGAGTGTTGTGGATTTTATTTTTCCTTCTCAAAAAATTCGAAATTTCTGTCTTCGCCCCTCTTAAGTTCCCTTTTTGATTTTGGGTGTTGTCCTTTCTGGAAACCCTAGTTCTCCTTCTCTCCCCCTTTTCTCTTTTGTGACGGCTTCTTTTTGACATTATCTCCTTATTTTTCCAGACTCTGAGACCTCCTCTGGTTCAGTCGAAATATTGTCGTCCGCACTTGAAGCTGTTCCTCTCTCTATTCTTCGCCCCGGTGATACTGTTCCTACTCGTGTTTTCACAGCTCGTGTTGCTTCCTCCAATTCCGGTGACACCATGGATAACATTCCCCTTCGTAGTCGTCGACCTCCTCTTGGCTCGAAGGATGAGCCTGAGGAGGACGAGGTTGTTTCTTCTCCGCCTACCTTCCCTACATCTTCAACCATTCCTCCTTCTTCTGCCCCTGAGAAATCTTCGATCAAGAAGTCCTCGACCAAGAAGTCTTCGAAAACTTCCACCCAGCGTTCTTCCCCCACTTCTCTCTCTGGTCCTTGGTATCATCCCGATAAGATCGGTAGACCCTCTGACTGGGTATTCTATAGCCGTTCTCCTTCTGACAAGTATGACCATCCTCCCAGAGATTGTTATACCTTCTTCGAGGTTCAGTTTAAGCTCGGGTTGCGATTTCCTCTTAACCCTGATATAATCCGCGTCTGCGAGTGGTTCTCACTCCCTGTGCACCAACTTCCCCCTAATGCCATCCGCTTTATAACCACTTTCATCATTCTTTGTCGAGTCCGCCTAGGTCGATTCGACCTGGATTTCTTCCATTACTGTTATGGCCCTTGTAAGTTAGGTCGAGGCCTTTACTTGAAAAGTCGTAATGGAGCCCATTCCCTCAAATCTCCCTAAGTGGAGCGATAAATTCATTTATGTTCAGCCCGACGTCCCTTTCCCTTGGCCCTCCTTTCCCTGGGTCAAGGATGTCTCGCGAGAGGCAGCCTCGGCCCCTCCTTCAAACGCCCTTTTCGACCAACGGATCCATACTTGGAATGCCAAGACC